GCTGTGAAATCCATCCCCCCCCCCCACCCCCTAGTCACACACACAACCTCCCCCCCATGGACAGACACAGAACACAGAACCTCACACCTCTTCCTAAAGACTGAGATTTGCACTGAGCTGCACCTTATAATGTTACTACACTCTTGCTGCTGACCTTAGGTCCCATACATCCCTTTTTATTTGTTCATATTTTTATATTGACTTATACAATTATGTGTTATGCAAATAATATGTCTGTCTTTTAAGCCGAGAGCTGCCGGAAAAAATTTCATTGTGCTATTCATAATGACAATAAAGATTCTTGACTTGACAAGAGGATACTAACCCCAGCATCAAGGGATAGAAGAATATCATTAGTAACCTTTAAAAGAGCTGCTTCAGTACTACGCCTTACATACAGGGTATGTATATATGATGAGTGCTCATACAGTAAGAACAGGTTCATGTACCTTTTAGTCCACTCCTCTGGGTCAAGACCTCTCTCAATGGCTGCGTTCTCAGCTGGAAGTCCGAAAGCATCCCAACCCATTGGATTCATCACCTGTGGATAAAGTTAGAGCCTCTGTATCAGTGGTGAAATTATTAACAAATCAACAACAAATTAGTCAACAATTTTGATAAATGATTCATTTCAAGTCTTTTTTTCTTCCATCAGTACAAATGACATATGTTGCCAACACAAGCTATTCTAGAGGTCATTGTGTGTTCGACAACCGTAACTGACATTTATCACTATTTTTCTACATTTTACAGACTAGATGATCAAATAAATACTGACAGATTAATTGATAAAGGAAACAACCAGCGGCATCATGCTTAAACTGAAAAAGCACGTCTTAAACTTAGAAATAAGATGAGCACAGAGAAACCCTTGCCCTCCAGCAGATGAACGTCTGAGTTCATCTGTCTTATAGTGTCCAGCTCTGCACAACACCTAGCGCAGTGTAGTAACAATAAGCATAACACATTTCTGGGTGGAGAGGAACTTTAAGAGACACAAAAAAGACATTTTGAGAGTCTGACTTCTGCTTTAGATGTATGAGAACACTATCAGCAACATCAAAAGTATTCATTTCAGGTGGTAATTTATTCAAAACCATGTTGAGTTCTGCAGCACACACTGACCCCTATATGCTGCTGAGCTCTCAACTCCATTCAGCATTGTGGTTAATGCATTCAGTTTTCATGTGCCTGCAGCTGTTTTATAATGTAAAAGCAAACAGAAAGCAAGGTTTAGCCTGGAATGAAGATCGGGGTGTGACAGCTCAATACCAGACAGCCTGATGCAAATTACTTTGTCAGTTGTTTTTCCACACAGACAACGTCAGAATCTACTGTCACTTTCCTCTGTAGTTTGTATCCATTTTATTGGCCCCCTTACATACACTCTGCTTCAGACCCATGAATCATTGTCAACTCGAGACAACATCGATTTCATTCATCTCTTTTCCCCTTTAGCTCCTCGGCTGTGATTTTCTGCTCACTGAGAAAGAAATGAGATGAAAGCACGGGAGTGGAAGGTGTGAGTAAAGTGAAGGACAGGCACAGTGAGAAGGAGTCGAGGGCTGGGGAGGATCACTGTACGGACACTATAGCGGGTCTGATGTTTCAGTCAAACTGGTATCCTTGGTAACAGCATGGGCCTCATTTGTAAAGCTGAGTGCCGGATGGTATTAGGCTAAGAGAGCTCAGCGCAGCAGAACACTGTGACCGCTAAGGAGAGATACAGGCACACTGAGAGCCGGGCGCAAGCACAAAATAGCCTAGGAAAATAACAAAGCAGAAAAATACATACACCTCATTAGGATGGATACGTTAGTATGTTTTATTCAGTGCAAATAGTCCATTAAAGTGGGACCATATTTACAAGACCCCGTTATGGGAACTGGCTGTGATGGACAGGCTGTGTTAGTGAGCTAAGCTTTAAAAGTCCTGAGAGAGTAACAGGGGCACATTATCTTTTCACTGCTAATAGCATCAGCTGCACTTATCCTGATGTCCACACAGAGCGTAAAGACTAGTCCGACTATCATGGAGACTTCCGGTACGTCTCAGTATGAGTGACAAGAGGCAGTATGTCAATCTTTCCACTGTAATGTGGAGAAAATCCGTGCCAAAGAGTGAGATGCATTTTTCCAGTTAGAGGCACCTCACGCTGATGACAAGTGTTATGAGACTGGTTTTGTGAATGTGAAGCCACATGCAAGTGTCAGCCTACACAGCTCCAGCTAGAACTGTCAGTCCATCTGCAGCAGCTTTGAAATGAAACTCCAGAATTTGTCTGTTTTTCTTTCCACACTAAATGATTCTAACCAAAGGGATAATTGCTTCATTTCCTTGTTCACTGGACAAATACAGAGCCAATGTAAAACTGAAGGAAAACTAGAATCACCACTTCTATCAACCAGTCAAGCTGCAGTTTATATGCATGTCTGTCCAGACTCATATAATATATGCAGTGAAGACTGTTTGTTGTTTTTAATGCTCACTCTATAATGAGACAAATTTAATGTTCAAGCAACTGCAGAGCAGAGAAGGACAAGATCAAGAAAAGCACAACTTCAACTGGTTTTCATTTACACTGTTAGAGGATCGTTTTATCCAGGTTATGATAACCAATTTTACTCTAGCTCTAGTGATATGTAGCCGTGCAGACAGTTTTGGTTTAAAACTACTTTTTGGGAAAGGCCATTATTCACTTTCATGCCACGAGTCTGATGAGAAGACTGATGCAACTCCCGTGTGTGTGGAGTAAATACATGACTACCACCAGTATTTGCTTAGCTTAGGATAAAGACCGATGAAAGGTAACAACTGCACCCATCAGCACCTCTAAAGCTCACTAAATTGCACGTTATACTTCTCTTGTTTGTTCAATCCATGCAAATTCTGAAGCATAATATGTTATATTGTAGGTTTACAGGAGCTTATGTGCTGGGAAATGTCTTGGTGGGGACATTGGCCAGGGGCTGATTGGCCACCCATTGTTCCCCCCCTGCCAGAGTCAAAACGTAATGCTTAACAGTTATGAATAAAACCTTAAAAACACTGACAAACTGTTGCCTTAAATGCAACTAACATTTCTCTCATGCTTTATCATTGACATTGGTTAAATTAGTTTTATTTTATATCATGCATGCATCGTGATATTTGCATTCAATTCTTCAACTGTGTTGCTGTGAAGCACTTGGCATGATTCGCCTCAGTTGGGGGTGGAGGTGGGGGGGTGGAGGGGGACACCACTGTGTAGCAGCAAAGTCCCCTGCCGGGAGTAAATAAGGAGCACAGCCAAAGTGAGCTAAAGAAAGCACCATGTGTGTCTCATTTTGACACAAAATAAACAGTTTGGCTCTTAATTATGTATGGTTTATTATTATTTCATAGAACTAGGGGTTTAATTGGCTTCTATATGAACTTCAACTATCTGAGTCTGTGTGCCAGCCTGGCCACCCAAACCAATATTTTTTTGATCTACCGCCATTAATCAAAGGAGCAAAATGTGTCAATTAGCGAATTTTAGACATGCTGTTAAGTAGAATTTATCTTCAGACAAAGGTCTAGCTGTTTCCCCCTTTCTCTGTGACTAGCTAAGAAACGAATTCCTTGTGTGCTGGCCAAATAAAGGTGATTATCCTTATCCTAACCATCTGCTAGCAGTAGTTTCACAGTTACCAGAGAGAGGAGTCCAAGTCCAACTCTTGGCAAAAAAGCGACTGAGCAAAATGTCCAAGTTGTTCCATTCTGGAAAGGTATCTCAGAGTTCTCCCTTCACCTCAACATAACTCAAATAAGTGGAATTTAATCTGCTGTTTTTACAAGACTGAAAATTTACTTTTAAAATTTTCAACAGCAAAGTGTTTTTTCCAGAATTGAAGTCTTTGTTAGTGTGGACAGTCCACGGAGCACGCTGTCAAGAGATTTCACTAGGACTGCTTCTTAAGAAAAGGAAAAGAACTCAGAGCATTTAAGCCAGGTTAGGGGTGGACACTCACAACTTATCTTATTTTACAATGATCAAATTACACTGACACACACTCGTGAAATCAGGCCATGTAATGAAGCCACTTATGACATTTTGGTCATTATCTATTGATATGAAGCATTATGACAAAGATTAGGTCTGAATAAAAATATATTATTATTTATCGTAAAAAAGTGCTTCACAAGTTAACAGCAAATAGCTTCAGGGCGTGACCATCAACAGACTGTGCCTTCCTTAATTAAATAGTTAACAGAGAAGACTGTGTGCATACAGCGGAACGAGGTTTGCTGTCTGACAGATGCTGAGAGAAATCACACTCCTGGGCAGGGACTAGCTGCCAGTCATGTGAAACCATGTTTCTGTTCAGGGAGGAATCAGACACAAGTTGAAGGGATCCGATCTGCAGGCGACGGAGAAGATGTACAACACCGAACACAGGTTGTCAGCATCATGTCAGAAGGTGTGTGTGTGTGTTTGCACACTGGTCACATCTTCATCTACACCCACCGTCTAGTGCACTCAAACAGAGAGCTGACTATTGACTGCAAGGCTTTGATTTGACAGAGTTGCATCAATAACACAATAGAGACTTCAAAGTATGGGCTTTAGCTTTGCCGTATTTATATCTAATTTTAACCATAATAGGAAACCTCAACTTTCAGCCTATAAGAACAAGGAGATATTTCCATGCTTTTAGACTGTCATTTCTGTATTTAAGTTTAATTTTAAAATGCTCAGTAGGCCCAAGGTGTCATACATTTTCTTGGAAACACCCTAAATCAGCGTTGCAGGCTGATGTGGCAGCCGTAAACAAACGAGAGAGAGTCAACAGAGACAGTGTGAAGCACATAGCGGAAATCACATTGTCAATACTGTATTGGACTGTAAGCCCTGTTAACTCTGAACGTAAGACTGAGTCCCTGTTCTAGTACAGTGCATACTGGCGGTTTATCAGTATTATGGGAACAGTCTAATCAAGCTCTAAATGAGACAGGAGTACAATAAAATAGACTCCTCAAAATAACTGTGAGGATCCCATGGAACTGTGGGGGAAAAAAAGTCAGTAAAGTACACGTGTGAAGAAAACAAAAGAATTATAATGAGGGGCAGATAATAAACAATAAAGCAAGCCCAGACCTATAACAAAAGTTAAAAAGCACCGAGTCATAATTGGCTTATTCTTAAAAGGAGAGACACACATTGCGAGAAGGTTTTTATCTGTGAGCATACACAATTCTTTACCTAATTTAGTAAGTGAAAATAACCCTTAAACTTAAGATGTCATTGATGAAAACTCTCAGGAGACAGTGAATGGGAAATGAATTCCATTGATCTATAAGTTTTAAGTTTCTGCACCCAAATAAAGTTAAATTTTCTGTTCGAATGAGAGCATCAGTTTGGTGCTAGAATTCCACCTAGCATCTTATGGCCCCAAAAAACCTTGCACCTTGCACCATTTGTGGACCTGGCCTCAATTTTCCATGTTACATTACACATTCAGTTTTCTTTTTTGGGAGAAATGTTAAATTCTTTAATGTTAATATCCAATCTTATGAGAGGAATGGTTACAAGACGGTTTCCTCTCAATTAAGCATTTGGCTCATCCCTGTGAACTTTTCACTTTAAATTGAATAAATTACACCACATTTTAAGAAATTAGTGCTCCCTCATTAATATGCAAATGCATTCAGGAACATGCTCCAAAATCCAATCAGATTATGCCCTTCTAACTGAACACCTGTAGAGTAAAAGAGGCTGAATCACAAAGTAAAAGACTCACTGAGCCCAGCATGAAGATATAATGTCCTGCCTAACGTACCAGGGTGGCAGGACATAAAATGACACACATAACAACAGCAGACATACCTGATGTCCTCTCATCCTCTGGAAGTGGCTGATGGTGTCACTGATGGTGTACACTCGCACATGGCCCATGTGCAATCGCCCCGATGGGTATGGAAACATTGAGAGAACATAAAACTTCTTCCTCTTGGAACCCTAGGGAAAGCACAGACTGTGATCATAATGCATGTCTCTGAAATAACCTCATGGGAAATGAAAAGATGATACAACTTGATTTTAGTCCTGAGAAACTACAGAAACAGTGTAGGAGTTCTTTTCTCCTTTATTACTTGGCCCCTTTTGAATGAATCTCGTATAAAAGACACTGCATTAACCTGATGAGGTCAGGACAGGAATAATAACTCATCACATACAGAGCGAGAGTGCTGACTACCGGTATAAAGTATGAGCGTCTGATTACAGTGTCAGAATCTGAATGGCAGCGGCGCTGATTATGGATGGCTTACAGTCACAACACTGTCACCATGGCAGCACAGTAAGTACCGGTTACACCCAGCTATACGTGATTACAGGAACCTAAGTCATGAATTTTTCAATAAATTAATTAGGACCAGGGCTGTCTTGAGTGCACTTAATCACTGTCAGCCTGTGCCAGACAGCCGCACAGTCAGGCCATTAGGACTGTACCGTACAAGCAGCCTGAGACGAGCTACAAGGGCCAATAATAGCTGGGAATCATTTGAAGGGATGCTTCATAACCTATCACTGAATTAATCTTCTTTAAAGGCGTTTCAAATGGATACATATACAGATTTGTCCAGATAGATTTAGTGTATCCACAGACTATTTTTTTTCACCCAGGTAAGACTTGGCTGGGAGTTGTTTTGGTGCAACCTTGAGCCCTTTCAGACATGCACTGGATTCCTAAAATTCTCTAGACATTACCCAGGAGAGCTGTATGTGAGAATGCAAATGTCTGAGTCGGTGGACCCGGTCTTTAAGTGGACTTTACTCTGCCAGCTCCCTAATACAAAGTCTGTGTAATGTCCGAGTGAGCTGAAGTGAGCCCATGTCAGAATAGAACAGTCTGGAATATTTATAGCTAGTAGGCATGTTCTATCGTGTGCCAGGCAGGAAACCGGAAGGATACAAACATCCGACGGTGAAGATGAATGGTCATTTACAATGACGATGGCAATGAAAATATCCAAGTGGAGATACAAAGAGATTGAGTGACTTTTGTCATTATAAAAGCCAGCACCAGAATCATCAGAACAATGTAAGGAACAGCAAGAGACACACGTAAACCAAACAGTATTTCAAGTAGGCAAGAACACATCTGACATGGACTACCTCCTGCTGTGTGGCACATGTGTGAAAAGGCAACTCTGGACAAACTCCAGGCCTGATTCTGAGGACACAGTCCGCAGTTCATTGGTAAAAATAGCAATGGATTTGTGGAACTTCCATTTTCACTAATTCAGAACTATTTACAGCTGCCTTCACAGTGTGAGTGATGGCAAGTTAGGGCAAACCAGAAGGCATGCAGTACTTGTAACAACCTAAGACACACAGAGTACATTTAAATGCACACTACTGTCCTGGTTTTGAAAATGATTCTTGTTGTGGCCATAGTTTGGATATGACATTCACACTGAACCTGGCAAGGCTGGATATTCATATTCATGTACACATCATCATAGCAGCATACGGCCTCCAGATGCCAAAGGTTTACGGTTTCTGGTTTCCCATTTGAATGAGGATTTGCTGCTTTTCTCCGTTTCATATTATTGTAAATGTAATATCGTTTGGTTTTCAGCTGATGGTTAGACAAGCCAAGGCACCTGAAGAACTTATCTAGCTCTGGAAGTTGGTGATGGGCAGTTCTGCATTATTGTCTGACATTTAAGAGACCATAAGAACAGTCCGTTTTTTTTTTCTTTCAGAGCACTTTGTATAGCATGAAGCTTAGGCAGGAGTTCAGTAAGGATGATCTCCTCCCTCACATTCTGCATGCTCCACAGTGGGTTGGCGTGGGCTGTTTATTTTGGATCTATTTCTCTCCGTCATCTGCTGTCCCACGCTGTCAAATCTCCCTCCATGTTCTGTCATGATGTCACCATATCTGACCAGTGATCTTTCTGCCTGTGTTTCTCAAGCCAGCCAGTCACTGGCTGCATTTCTTTAAATTTTGCTGCAGTCCTGCCAGCTCGTCTTTCAGATCCACCTCCTCCCCAACACCACCTTAATCTCCAGGATGTCCAGGGTCACAATCGAAGGCCTCCTCCAACTACAGTGCCTTGCGAAAGTATTCGGCCCCCTTGAACTTTGCGACCTTTTGCCACATTTCAGGCTTCAAACATAAAGATATAAAACTGTAATTTTTTGTGAAGAATCAACAACAAGTGGGGCCAGCACAGGAATCTTGGTCAAAGCACCACTGGACTTCAGATCAAAGCAAGACAGCTTAATTTCTAGAGCACATTTCCTAACCAGAGGCAATTCAAAGTGCTTCACATAGGCAAAGAAAAACAGTAACAGCATTAAATATTATAAGCATTAAAACCAGATCACTGCTTACTAAGGATGTCAGGGCCCTGCTGGGTTTGGATTCTGTAGGTAACTGGGAGCCAGTGTAAAGATTTAAGAACAGGAGTGATTTGCTCAATTCTCCTGGTTCTGGTTCAAACTCTCTGAACGAGCTGAAGTTGTCTAACAGTCTTTTGGGGAAGGCTAGACAAAAGACCATTACAACAGTCCAGCCTGTTGGAGACGATAGCATCAGTGAGTTTCTCAGGACATGAGACCTCAGAGTTGTACTATTTGTTCGAGATGATGAAAAGCTGATTTAGTTGTGGCCTTGATGTGACTGGTGAAGTTCAGGTCTGAGTCAATTATGACACCAAGATTTGTAACTTGAGTTTTTGTCTTCATAGTTCTACAATCAAGCTGATCAATAACTTCGGTCCTTTCGTTCTTGCTACCAAAAGCAATAACTTCAGTCTTGTCTGTAACTGAAGGAAATTTGATTGCATCCAGGTATTTACAGTGCCTTGCGAAAGTATTCGGCCCCCTTGAACTTTGCGCCCTTTTGCCACCTTTCAGGCTTCAAACATAAAGATATAAAACTGTAATTTTTTTGTGAAGAATCAACAACAAGTGGGACACAATCATGAAGTGGAACGAAATTTATTGGATATTTCAAACTTTTTTAACAAATAAAAAACTGAAAAATTGGGCGTGCAAAATTATTCAGCCCCTTTACTTTCAGTGCAGCAAACTCTCTCCAGAAGTTCAGTGAGGATCTCTGAATGATCCAATGTTGACCTAAATGACTAATAAATACAAATAAACATATCCAGGTGTTAGAATGGCCAAGTCAAAGTCCAGACCTGAATCCAATCGAGAATCTGTGGAAAGAACTGACAACTGCTGTTCACAAACGCTCTCCATCCAATCTCACTGAGCTCGAGCTGTTTTGCAAGGAGGCATGGGCAAAAATTTCAGTCTCTCGATGTGCAAAACTGATAGAGACATACCCCAAGCGACTTACAGCTGTAATCGCAGCAAAAGGTGGCGCTACCAAGTATTAACTTAAGGGGGCTGAATAATTTTGCACGCCCAGTTTTTCAGTTTTTTATTTGTTAAAAAAGTTTGAAATATCCAATAAATTTCGTTCCACTTCATGATTGTGTCCCACTTGTTGTTGATTCTTCACAAAAAATTACAGTTTTATATCTTTATGTTTGAAGCCTGAAATGTGGCAAAAGGTCGCAAAGTTCAAGGGGGCCGAATACTTTCGCAAGGCACTGTACCTGTCAGCTGCTCCACACCACCATCAGTGTCTAGTCTCCAGGGGACCCATCCCATCTCCTATCTTCATGTGGGCCTGCGCCTGATTAAAACCCAAATAAAACTTGGACTCTAGTGCACATGTAAACACACTCTCTCTCAGAGTGACTCAACTAATTAGAGCTTATGAGTGCACCAAGGGAAAGGCTGTAAAATACAGGAGGTCTCTATAACAAAAGGCTTCCTTACTTCCTCCAGTGTGTCCTTCCTCCACTGTGCCATAATTCGCGGGTGCCACCATTCTTCCAGTCTGCGTCGGGTCTCTTTTCGATAGTTCTTCTCCCACACTCCTGTCTCACTGAACAGGGTGCGAGCACTAGGGGTCAAGAGGCGGGGTACTTGACTCAGGAGAGGAGCCCTGATTCGTCCAGACCGGGCTGCACCCAGGGGATACAGAGCCAGCCATCTTACTGACACCTGCATGGTTCAGTCACCTAAAACAAGGACAGATATTCTGTAGTAGCAGCAGGTGGATGAACAGTATCGTGGTGGTATTGCTAAGTAGGTGAGATACAGGGGGCTCTAATCTAAAGGTCAGTTACCTACAGGTAAACACTTAAGCATAGAAGTCATCACATTTACTATCGTGACATGGCTGAAACTAGGAGGTGTGAGCAACATGAATGAAAAACTGGCTGATCAATCAATAATGAAAATGATCAATAGCTGCAGCCCTAAAACAATGTTATTGCCATGATCTGTGTCCTTTTCATCATAAAACACATTTTACACATGTAAAACAAGAATTTTACAATTTGTTTTTTTGGGATTTAACCCTGTAAAGCCCAACATATCAAAAAATAGCCAGAACATTCTAATTTTTTGGAACTGAGATGTTTATTAAACCTTAACAAAATCCAAAATATTATTCATGATTTGAAATTCAAGATTCATGATTTTTATTTGCCATATAAGCATAGACAGACAGTCCAGGCACGTAGGAATAGAGGTGCCATATTATTTAGATTATTTCTATTTCTTTTGTATCACATTTGATACATGGGGCATTTTTGGTGATTTTTTTTTTTGCTCACAAACCTCACATATCAAATATGATACAAATGGTTTTATAGGGTTAAAAGCTTTGGTTAAAATTCTGATGGGTTACCTGTGCTGCTGCCCACAAAGCAGAGAGGGTCATTAATTGGTAGAGTTGGCATTAAGACGTTTATCCCACTCACAGCATCTTAACCCATACATTCATATGGTTCCCCATGGGGTGACTATAGTCACCCGACAATGGTTTTGTATACAATCCCCTCATCATAAAAAGGCAACAAGGCTGGTACAGTCCTTCCCCGTGACTAGTGCGGATTCAGATCAGTTTTGAGCCTATGGAACAGAGCAGCACATGTGTACCCACTTGTTGAGAACAGTGCGGCTGGCGGCTCCACTTTGCAGCTCTCATCGCAACTTCTTTTTACACCACTGCTGTTTCACAGTCTGTGTTCTTTGCACCACGTCACTCACACAACAGCATGATCTGGTGAACATAAAAGCCTGCCTGTTCAGATAATGAGAGAGACAACTCATCTGCAGTTATTTCCTCATGCTTCTTGTTGCTTAGAATCAGATTTTTCTTTGCATTACTTAAAATTGTCTGTCTTTGGATATTAAAGTTCCTGCTTCCAGATCATGTCTCAGTTCTGTAATTACTTGTAGGTAAGAAGGACAAAATGCTGCATTACAGGACTGTCAAAAACAGGACAATAATAAGTTAAGTGAACCAGCCCTACAATTAACAACTTGGACAAAAATAACACTTCATTTTAGGCTTTCTTTCTTAATTTTCTTTTGCAAAGGCACTGCACATCCCTACAGCCCGATGTAGGTCAGACAGCCGCATGTAAGGAAAAAAACAATTTGACCTGAATTTGTTTTCTCCACGACACACACAGACACAAACTGTTTCCTGAAATATCCATACCACCTCTGCCTCCCCAGCAGCCAAGCACAACCGCTGCTAACCTGACCTGTCAGGAGAATATTTACACAGTACTGGAACGCCTGGATCTCAGACAGTGAGACCATTACACTGTAGCTGCTGAGTGGAAGAAGTTATAATCAGCATGCCCTGACAGCAGACTGAGATAAGGATGTGAATGAGGTAAACAAAAAACAAATATGACTGCCTGTTACTTAAACCACTGAGAACTTAGTGAGGTTAGTCTATATTCGATAATGTTATGATAATACAATGTAAACCAAACTCTCTCGAGTACAACCTGAACACAACAGCAGCCAACGCTACCCCCTCAGGCCAAGGTTGGCAGAGCAGAGTACTCAAGGTTGTGTGTATCTCTGATGGTGCGATTGAGTGGGCGAAGGCCAGAAACTGAAAAAATGTTTCTATGGTGAGTAGGCTCATCTGTTCAGTATCCTGCAAAGAGTGACTGAAAACTTCTGCAAACAGCACGCTGGCCCTGCTGTGTAGCAACGCATGAGCAGAGAAAGAGGCGGTGCTTCAGCTGGAGATCATGGCTGAGGCCTGGGAGTCGGCATAGAGGCTTTTAATGGTGCTAAACTAATTCTTAATCAGAATTAATCTTAATCAATCAATCTGTATCATAATTCTGGTATCAGAAATCATTTCTAAGCAAAACACCCAATCACTGACTGGATCCAGCTTATCAAAGTTTTGCGACTTTAGTCTGTTTCAGATCAGTGTAAATTATATGGGCTCTGGGCTCTAAGTCAATCAAGAAAACAAGCAATGTGAGGGTCTCACTAGTGATCTGGAAAATAGCAATGGCCATTTTTCAATGTTCTCATTTTATAATCCTATCAGTAAATCAATTAATCAAGAAAGTAACAGACATTTTAATATATAATGAAAATAATCTTTAGCTCCAGTTCTAACAAACACCATCTGAAAGCACTAGTGGCCCCCAAATGGCTATGTTGGCATATTAATAAATTCACCGTTCAGTTACTATAATTCTGTTAGCCTTTACTTTGGGTTTCAACTAGTAGCTATGTTCATTACTCTGCACATTCTTTGTTTGATTAATAATTGAGTCTATAAATGTCCATTCTTCTTTCTCAGAATGCAAGGTGACATAATGAAAACCCAAAATATTCAGTTTAATATGACATCAAACAGAAAAAGTCAGAAAATCTTCATTTTTGAGAGACTGAAACAAAAGCACCATAACGACTAATCCCTTATTAGAACAAAGTGCACTTGGCTGCACAGGTTTCCAATATGCCTCCTTGACAGACTGGTTAGTAACATTAACAAAAGATCCTTTACGCCGCCATGACACCGATTCCCATTGTGTAGGTATCATTCAGGTTTACCCAGTAAACAAGTGGGCGACCGCTCCTCTGCTAGCTCCAAATAAAGATCCAACCAAACACCTGTTTATAGTCGTGTATAGCCTAACACCAGCCTCATTGTTCGTGTCCTGGCTGACTGTTCAGCCTGTCTGCTGACTGTTCTCAAAGTGAGGGATGAAGCACAGGAAGTAAATTGTGAGAATATCTTCGGTCTGAAGATACTTACTGTTTTATTTCCACGTAATTTAATTGCGCGCTACGATCGTATTGACATAAAAACAATAATCCATGTTTTAAAAGTCATGTCCAGTTTTTAAACACGCTGTAAATGACCTGTTCCCTTAATCACGACTTCACCATAGGCGCCGCCATATTTGTTTGAATAAACTTTATCAACATGGTAGACGTTGACAACGCCAAAGCTATAGGCTGAGGAGCGCTTTCGTATTCTGTAAATTCATTTTATCGGTAAGGCCTAGTCTCCCTCCCTCTCTCTGTGGGGGTGTGTGCATATGTGTGTGTTCACTGTCAGTTTCAATGCAATATGGGTTTCCTTGTTACCATAGTAATGTAATATCCCCCTTTAATTATGTTTCATTTTTAATAAAAAAAGTCGATTTTTTATTATTTCAGCGTGTTTGCTGCTCCCGGGTGCAGACATTTGTTTTCTACAGTTGAAGTAACATTGATAACCAAATCTGAGAGAAGAAATAACATTCACTGCCTAAAGCATCTGCTCCATTTGTATTTCTGTTTATCAGTACTAGGATACTCAATAACAAAGCGGCCTTCGGAGAGAGTTTGTAGAATTTAACTTCAACCTTTCATGTAGTATATGGTAAATAAATTGTTTTGTAATGATGTGCAAGGCTTATATATCACTTAAGCTATAAGTGTTTTATTCCTATTTGGTAACATTCTAGTAACAATTTCCTTTAAAATATTTGCAATGCATTAGATACTATAAATAAACAGTGCTGTGTGGTAAGTGACATTTTTCATAACTTAGAAACGCAAGTGGTGTGCTTATTAATTAATTAATTCATTATTGATCTTTAAACTTCAATAAATGATTAACCTTTCATAAAAACCATTTGCTGTCTTTTATAATCCCTGTATAAAGGGCCCCTTACACCCAGTGTAAATGTTTAATTTAGGCCCACAGAGAATAGATTTAAGTTTAACTTCCTTATTTAAACCCTTTGTTTGTTGTTATAAAATCCATTTTATCACCTGGGGTCAAATATAACTCATATCAAAGTTAATCAAATCAAATTATAGTTCCACAAATAATAATTGCTGTCAAATGTGACTGAAATAATCACCAGCACTATAAGTGTCCTCAGGAGGTGCTTTCATTGTACGTGATTTCTGGAAGAGAAGCATCGCTTCTCTGATGCCAACTTCCAGTGTCAAGTGACTGCTGCTGACTGAAAGAGCACCTCCACTCATTCTGCTCTTCTCAAAAGGGTTTTTCTCTATGAGCTGCGGCTCTCACCTTCAAGCTGACATGCAAACAGAGGAAGTGAAGGAGGAGGAACAGGGGGCAGGGAGTCATCAGCAGCAGATAGTTCCTTAGTCTGACGTCAGAAAGCTAAACCTGGGGCTCTGCTCCGGCCTGCCGCCATATATCAGAATTAAATGGGCGACTGCCTGGGGCATGATGGGATATAGTTGAAGAGTAGGAATGAGACAGGGAAATTGGTTGAGACACAAGCTCTCCACATACAGCCAAATATCTGTCCATAAAAAAAGAGTGAGGCTCTTTGTGTCAGGTTTGCCCAGCTCCACCTTCCTCTCTTCTTTTTCCTCACACTAGCCTAGCCCTTGCACTGATTACACTATTCAACACACCTGCCCCGCTTCCCTGATTACTCACCAGCTGCACCTCATTAGTCTCCTCCATACTTATACACTGTTCACCAGTCACTCCCTTGCCAGTTCTTTCTCTGTCTTCAGGCCAGTGGTTGTTATGTTGTTTTATCAAGTTTATGCTAAGATTGTCTTTGTTCTCTCTAGTCCTTGTTAGCACCCTAGTCGTTATCCTGCTCTGCCGTCTCTAGTGTGTTCTTCCTCTTCGGACCTCTCCTCTGGACCCCCCTGGATTTAATCTACACCACCAGCCACCACCTCCCAGGTCGATGCACAGTCTCCCTTACCCAGTTTATCCCTGCTCTTCTGTCTACAGCCATCATCCCCTCCACCTCGACCAGCCCAGGAGTGACCTCTGCGTCTGCAGCCCGGTACATCATCATCCACCATACCACTGACTGTTTTTCTGCTGCTGCTGATCGACACCCGGTCATCTACCTCATTACTCCTCCTGTATATATGTCACTACCTTCACTGTAAATAAACCTCACTGCTTGCACCGAAGCCAGCCACCTGGGTCCGCTTTTTATCTGCTCGCTCACTCTGTGTTCGAGCGCACCCTAACA